CATATGCTACAAAAAGATATGTGCATTTCATTTCATGAATGTATACAATCCATTCATATAAGTTATGTGTTGATACAGAATTAAAAATTAATCACATACCATGCTTTACATCTGCAATTATTACGTGGGTCATTATACATTTAGGAGGAAGAAAAGTGACTGAAATAATTACTCTCATAATTATTTCTTTTATTAATCTCTTTGGTAATAATAAAGCAAAATTGTTTCAGTATATATTTTATCTTATTTTAATATTTAGTTGATATAAGTATGCATGTAAAATAAATTTGAAAAACTCTCTTATCTCAAAGCGAAATTGGGTCTTTTCAGGAAATAAACCCACTTATTCCCAGGCAAAATTGAAAATTACTAATGTGGGCTGGGTTTTTTTTTTTTTTTTTTTTAAAGAAGAAGGAAAAAAAACGGATTTTTTGAACCCTGCTTTAAGGGGAGCCACCACAACACACATTTGGGTTATAACGCTCTGTTTATTTATCACTCACATAAAAATTTTTAAAAAAAATTTCAAATTTTATTGCTTAAAATAAAATAAAAAATTTCACAAATGAGTAATTACAAAAATCTGAACATACTTATGTACTAAGCTATTCTAAATTCATGTAAAAACAATTGAAACTTGTGAAAAATTATTTCAATATTCATCATCGTTATTAATAAAAAACAAGATTAAAATATAACATGCCCACTTCGATCAATTCTAATCCTTAGAAGAGGAAATTGATCAATCAAAAATGAACTAGTAGAGCATCATTTTTAAGATGCATTTTTGAGTAAAAAAATATTTAAACTTTCATTTTATATATTTCTGTTTTATCTATAATTTACAACACTATAAATTGTTTCTAATGCAAAGCATTTATTATGTTCAAAATAAGTCAAGGAAAGATGAGGCTAAAAACAGGTGAGGGATTTCTAAGTGACCGACTCTTATCGAAAATTGTTTAGATTGCGCCATTTAAGACTAATATTTTCATCACAAATAAATTTATCTCTTAAACCTAATTATTAAATAAATCTTCCTTAATAACTAATGCAATTTATCAAACATAAATATATCTTTTACAAAATCTAACTTTTTCAAAGGTTTTATAAAAATTATGTATAAAAATAATTCATTAAACTGATAGCTTCATCAAAGTTGATTGTTAAATTTAATTTACATTATAAGCTGGAAATTAATTACAATAATGTGAAAATAAACTCTTTCCAATTAAAATTTTGATAGTCATAACTAAATTAATACACAATATAAATAAATACCAATGAAACACAATATAACATTGCTCTCAAAAGATGCTGAAAATCTCAAGATGAAATACTGTTCTCAATAACTGTCAAGAAACTCAGCATAACATAGCAACCATTAGCTGCTGAATAGCTCAATGCAACACTTATTAGGAAATACATTAACTGTCATTTAACTTAACATAAACATAATACTCTTCATAAAGCCAATGACAAATTTAACAACTATTTATTTTGAATGAAAGGCAAAATTTCTGTTTAAATACAAGTTTGCAATTAACATTATCAAGGATTTTATTGAATTATTTAGTGATTAGTATGCAAAAGTGTGTAAAATCTTTACATCAAAATATGCATACTATAAGCATATCAACTTGTTTTGTTTAATTTTTAAAAATTGTATATAATTTTTAAAAGTTGTATAATATTGTATATAATTTAGCATTAGTACTACTACCACCTTTCTGCTTTGAAATGGCACTATCTGCTTGGCAAGTTGCAATTAAAAAAAAATTTAATGGAATAGTGCTTTTTTTTGAGAGAGAGAGAGAAATTTTGTTAATTTCTCTGATGTACAAGTGCCTTTCTGTTGTTTCCATCCTTAAAAACATGCTTCTTTAAGCAAAGAAAAATTAGCAGTATGTTGGTTGGTGCTCCTAAATAGATACAGTGCACTCCCGATTATCCGGGTTAATCATTGGGACAGGTCACACGGACAATCGAAAAACACGGATAATCCGAAAACTCCTTTTATTAAAGAAAATTTCAATATCAGTACAAAAAATATAAAAATTACTGACACTTGCATGCATAGCATCAAACTAGGAATTTTCCTTATTAAAAAATGTGTAATGCGTCTTCGCCATATATCGATACACATATTTTACGAGCCGCAGTAATGGCTCCGTAATCAAATCCTGCCATATAATCTAATAAAGTTTCCACAGAGCAGCAGAATGAGAAATTGTATTTCATTCATTTACTACATCTTCTGCATCAGTTACTATCATCACTATTTGATTTAACAACATAACGATGTCTTCATCAGTCAAATACTGGAAGCCAGGCTCACATGCATCGCTTTGAAACCAATCTTCTAAATTTTCTTCATCAAGAATTTCGAAACCTTAGATTTCTTTTGCTTGTCCGAGAATACTGTTATCATATTTTTCTTGAACATCTGAAGAGGATTGTTTATCAAGCGGTATGATCTTTCTCCAAGATCGTGATAACGTAGATGAGTTTACCTTTGAGCATGCTGCTGATATTCCATATACTGCAATCCAATAACGAATATTGCTTCCAAAAATTTGGTAGTGTTATAACTTTTTATATTTTCTGTGTGACTCCGGAATGAGCACGGATAATCCGCACACGGATAATCGAGAGTGCACTGTAACTACATTAAATAATCAATCAATAATTCAATCTCTTGATCAAATGCTACACAACACTTCTGCTATACCTTAAAAAATTATTTAGGATGAATTAATAAAAATTATAGATCTTTATACTTGATACCACTGTAAAGACAGAGCAAATTTTGGGTGTTTACGTATTTCAGATTATGTATCCAGTACGTACTGTCTTATTCCTCATTAACTTATATTTTGCATACCTATAATTGCGACTTTCAAAAACTAACTATGCAATGCCCACTAATTTGTTATATACTTGTAAAATATTCCTTAAAAAAAATAACAGACCTAATTCCACGAGCACTTCAAAAAAATATTAGGTTTGATTTAATAGTTAATAATTGTTTACACACACACACTCGTAAAGACTAAAAGGAAATAAAATTTACAAAAATGAATCACTATACAAATTTGATAGCATAACTTGAGGACGGGAGTTTTTGAAGAGTCTGTTTTCTAAAGATTTTGTAAAAAATATTTTCAAGGGTTGGAGAATATTAAAAGCCAAAAGGCAAATTTCCGTGAAAATAAATCAATATAATAAATTTGGTACCATTATGAATAAGAATTTTTGTAAAGATGTAAAGAATTCAGTTTGGTAAAGGGAACATCATTGAACCTCTAATCAAAATGGACCAAAGATGCTGAAGTCATGATAATCATAAATGTCTATCGGTTTTAACATGGAAGTGGACAAGACATGGCTTAAAAGTGTGGTAAAAGGTATAGGCAGATTAGTAGCATTTCAAAATCATATTACATTAAATGAAAAGATATCAATATTGCATTTAAATCATTTGGCTTGAGCTTAGTTAGATTTTTTTCAGACTGTGTGGCATAAAATGACTATTTTAAGAATTACCTTAATTTTTAACAATTTGAGCTACTGCCAATAAATACTCTCCAGACCACAAATCCTCATGCATCTAAATACTTCAACAGAGATAATTCATCCAGTTTGAAAACTTTGTAAGCATCATCCAAATTTCTTTAGTGTGAAAATAACTTCTGCCCTAGTGATTTTAACTTAAATTTAAAAAAAGAAAACAGAACATAATATGAGCCCTAGTCTGTCTGTAACAGTCCCTATTTTAAATCTGTAGCAAATGTTATTTTTATTTACTTATTTGAAATAAAAAAATTTAGACGGCACTAACAAAGTTCTGCAACCGAACAACTCTCTCTTATAAAAGACGTAACTGAACTCAGCCCAACAACGAGTGTCTACAAGTACAGGACGCAGAACTTCACTCTCTAGTTAGCTATTATCAATCAAGTTTATCATCAATTCCTAACTCAGTTTCATCTTGAATTCAACTTTATACGCTTAGATTAGAGTGCCACAGTAAAGTGAAGTGTTTTGATGTAAGGCTACAGCATTTTTCCTTCATTTAGAACAAAAATAATGACATCCCTTTTTCACTTATGAAACCATAACTTCTAAAATCATTGAAAACTTAAGATCTTATTTTATTTGACATTGTTATTGCCGTAATACACATTGTTTTGATTTCCTAATTTTTATTTTCTTTTATAATTTTGGTCACCAAAAAAATTCTGCCTTTGCTGAAATTTTATAAAAAGAGTGCAACCAGAAAAACTATTTATTAAACTATTATTAACCATTTTATATAATTTTTTTTCAAATTTTAGAAAAGTATTATGACAATAAACATTAATAGAAATTATGCTTTATTAAAATTCTTTAAATTAAATCTAGTTTGAGCACAAAAGCAATAATGAACTACCTTTTTTAATTTGCTAAAGCATTTTTTTTTTTTGTGCTGCGTCTTTTAATTATAATAGCAACAAAAGAAAATAATAATAACGAAAGAAAATACATAAATAAATACCAGTTGATAAAAATTAAATTTAAAAAAGCAACTTTTATGCTTTGCTAATAAATAAGTGTAGATTTAAATTTGACACAAAGATGTAATAAGTACTATTTGTGATTATTTCAAGCAAAAAAAATTATAATTTTAAAAACAGAATATTATTTTTTATTTATTGAATTCCAGGAAGGTGAAAATTCACTCTCATGACCATTTAGACCAACTCTCAATATATGTTCTTTTGGGAAAAACAGATAAAAAGTGGTTATTTATACTGTAAATAAAAATCAGCATAACTTTTTAAATGCAATTATAGTTATGATTGCTGACTCGAATTTATATACCTTTTTTTTTCAATAGCTTATTAAAAATTAACCTACTTTGCACACTGTATGGTAAAAATAATATATTGGCAAAATCATAATAATATGTCGAAGAAAAATAACAACAAATGGAATTTTAAATAAAATTACTAGTTAACTCTTTTTACAATTTATTTTTGTTTTATTAATTTTCTACAGTCATTTAAGCTGTTAAATTAAAATCTATAAATCATGTGAAATTCAACACTCATAATTTAATACAGATAAATTTATAAGAGTTCAAAGTAATAAAAAAAGAAATAAAAAATTAAAATACTATATCTTTTCATATATACTAATGAATTTGTCATTCACATTAAAAGTGACATTAATGAATGCCTAAATCTCATCATAAGATTTAGGCTTGAACAATCAAACAAACAAATAAATTATGTACATTCAGCAAATTATAAAATAATTAGTTTTTCTTTGGTAATCTCCAAGGATATTAAACAATAACTACTTAATCAAATGTAACTCAGAACTTCTGGAATGCTTTAAAAAATTATTTAGAATAAATTAATAAGATTGAATATACAACTCGAATTACATGATATCTCGACATCTGGATTACTCTTGATCGTTTTATGGCTTAATATTTCTTGTGGTTTATATAATAACATATCTACAGTTATTTTACAACCATATTTATCTTAATAGAACTGGCATAAAGCTTTTTTTAGAAACAAAATGTACAAAATTTAGAAACATATAAATGTTGAACATACTAAATTTTTGTTAAAAAGTCCAAGTTCATATTTTATGAATACAAAGTTCTGTGCTAATAAAAAGGGAAAGACAATCAGCAAATAAAATTGCAATATTTATAACGAATACAGTTGCCAAAAGAAGGCGAACAAATTACATGGTGTTTTTAATACTCAAATTATTGTACCACGTTTACCAAGAAAGACATAATAGATATATAGTAGTTTTAAACCTAATAAATTAATTACTGTAGTACCTATTAAGTTGATACTAATTATTGTAGTAGTGTTTAACTTCACGCCAGCTTTCTATTTGCTCTCCCTTTAAATATTTTTGTTCTTAAAATTAAGGAAAATCAAGAGTAAATCTTTACAAAATCAAACGAGTATTAAGAACATCCAAATCATATTGTATTATAACATTTAAATAATATACCTTGACATTTTTCTAGGGTACTTAAAGCACCATGTTGAACTTAAAGAGTTCGATCAATTAAAATAAAACATAGAAGTTTGTGTATGATTAAATGTTGCCAAACAACATACAGAACTAATACTTTAAGCCTCTGCAAAGCACCTAGAGTATTTTTTTAAAAAAAATCTGTAATGAACACCAATTAATCTAATGAAATGACATCAGGTGTACTATGTACTCGATCACTGTCTTTTCCTTTATCTAGTTCTCCTTCAGGAGTATTCAACAATGAGAAAAAGTCAAAGTTATTGTAAGCAGACTGATTCTCGTTAGTCTCGATTTGGTCATTATATGAACTGTATGGATTATCGAGATAAGGGATAATTGGGTATTGTGGAGTACTCAAGCCAGAACTAGTAGATGAGGTAGATGGTACTGATGAATCTGGCAAGATACATAAAGGATCGTAGGTGTCACTCATAATATTTGATACTGCTAAAGATTCTGGATATGGACTAAGGCGATTGGTGGACGTTGGGATGTACGAATTAGAAGTGGTCACAGGAGTGTCTGGTGATAAAAATATTAGAGGAGGTGTGGCTGATTTTGGTGTTGCTGGTGTTTGTAAGTCTTTAGTAGTCTCTTTAGAAAGAGATTTATTCCATGCTTCCTCTTCACTGTCATTGTCTGATAGATCAACGATTTCTACAGATTTTGTTTTCTTTTTCGCACCGCTCTCTTCAGAAGCTTTTGGAGTTTCTTTGACCTCTTTCTTTGGCATTATTGGAGTCCAAGAGCCATCTTCATTAAATTGCACTTCAGTTACCTCTGGTGACACTCTAGAAGAAATGTCCATAAATAATCCATCTAGAACCAACGTTTTAAAGAGTGCTGATTTGTCGCACACCGGACAAATCCACTTTGGTTTTTTCTCATTCATCTGAATGTACAGTGATGCGTCGAAACACTGGATATGGGTGCAGGTCGTAGCACGACAAGGTAACTCCATTTTAATTTTACCGAGAGGACATAACAACGATCCACGCAGGCTTGTTGTAGCTATTTCACAATCCTGCCCTTCCTGCAGTTTTTCGCGAATCATCGCAGTTGTATATTCAGCATTCCTAATACCAGCGCTTTTTAAGCGATACAATAAAGTACTAGATGTGAGTTGTTTGGCAACGTATATACCAAAAACATACGATCTCCCATAGGTAAAAGACCACGAAATAGTAATCATATTCGTAATTGAAGGTGCAAGTTTTGAAAGCGCAGTTATATTAACTGGCTTGCTAGGGCGTTTTGGTTCTACACCAGGTCTGTTTGTTGGTATTGGATTGGGTAATGGCACGAGCTTTCCATTGACTTTAACACAAATGCTTGGAGGAAAGTTATCTTCTTGTTCAGTAGCAGACTCTGATAGACAAAAGCGAAGTAAAATTTGACAGTCATAATTACCACTTGCATTACGAGACAATGCAATATCATTGGCTTGTTGCGATGTTAATGTAAAATAAAAAGTAGTTTCTTGATACCGATCATTTGTAGAGTTCACAAGGTTAGAAGGTTTCTGAATTTCATACAGTACATCAAAAAATGGCAAATCTTTGAACTTAACATCAACATATGAAGAATAATGTGGAATAGAGTTAGAACTGGAGAGAGGCGGTGGTGGTATGTATGATTTTGCCACTGGGTAACCAGTACTAGGATGTTGGCTTACTGGTGGTCTAACATTCGTGTTATAATGGTTGGGGTAACTACTATTGACGTGACTGTCGTAGTGATGAGGGGGCCGATCACTATGAGGCCTTTCGAGCATGTCATAATTACTGGGTCTAGCAACTAGTTGGTTATTATATCTGCGATTGTGAAGCTCTTGAATTTTATGTTGCACAGCAGAAGATTTTAATTTTAGTAAATCCAAAGCACGACTCTGTAATTCCTGTTTCTTTCCACTTTTATTTCGCCCAGCAAATGAAAGCAAAACCACCAAGTCACTAACTCTAAAGTTCAGTATCATCGTCCGAAGCTCGGCCTCTGACATTGTACACGTTACGAACAAAAAACACAGAATAGACTTGAAACTAGATACAATTGACACACAGGAAAAACATCAAATGAACCACTAAAATCACAAAGTTTTACATTTTTAAGATAATTTTGAATACTTATTAAATAAGAGTTTACGCGAATAAAACTGTTTACACGAAAGCGAAACATAAACAAACATTAAATAGAAACTTACAAGTCAACTCGCCACTAGAGGCGCTGCAAATTCAAATTTCAAAAATAAAAAAATAATATTCATATTTTAATAAAAATATTGAAATTAAATAAAAACTATTATTTAGATAGTTTTTGATTGCAGATAGTTTTAAATAATCAAATGTTTAGTACGTAACTCTGACATAGGCAACCGCCTAAAACTCTACAAAATATCATTTCCTTATGAAACTACATTATAAGTTAAAAATTATTTGAATTGTAAGTGTATAAATATTTAAAATAAGGTTTTATCTCACATTTAGAAAATATTTGTTTTAAAACATGAAATAAAACTTCAAAATCGATTATGTTCGGTCTTAACTGTAACTTTACTACTAACGACTACAAACAAACTTTTTGTTGTGAATCTTTCGTTAGTTGCTTGTAATATTTTAGCTATTACTATCATACATAAATTACTATTCTAAAGAATTTTTAATGTAAATTACATTTAGTTATCACACCATAGTGTTTATAAAGAAAATGGCTCCTGGAATTGCTGACAAAAAGAATAACACTCTACCGATGTGGGGTAATGAAAAAACTATGAACTTGAATAATCTTATACTTACTAATATTCTATCGTCTCATTATTTTAAAGTAAATTTATACCAGTTAAAGACATATCATGAAGTTATTGATGAGATATATTATCAAGTTACCCATTTAGAACCGTGGGAGAAAGGCAGTCGTAAAACGTCAGGACAGACTGGCATGTGTGGTGGTGTGCGTGGAGTTGGCGCTGGTGGTATAGTTTCAACTGCTTTTTGTATACTGTACAAGCTTTTTACACTAAAATTGACACGTAAACAAGTTGTTGGACTTATAAATCATGGTGATTCACCGTACATAAGGGCACTAGGTTTTATGTATATACGATATACCCAGCCACCAAGTGACTTGTGGGATTGGTATGAGCCATATTTAGAAGATGACGAAGAAGTTGATGTGAAGGCGGGATCAGGACAAGTCATGACCATTGGTGAAATGTTAAGGCATTTCCTGTCCAAACTGGAATGGTTTTCAACTTTATTTCCTCGCATACCTGTCCCGATTCAGAAAGACTTAGAGAAGAAGCTTTCAGACTGGCGTGCTCGTACAAAGTGTAACATCACATCTAAACCACAAGATGTTACTGAAGGTGAGGTAGAGTATCAGGACGAGGAACGCCAAGTTGAGGAAAAAGTCGAGGATTACGATCGCGTCAGGGAAGGATCTTCTCGGGTTCCTCGTGAACGCGGTGATTCTCGTTATGGAATGGATTTGTCGGAAGCTATCGAACGAGAAAAAGAAAGACAGCGGCGGGAACGAGACATGCACGGATCTTCATCTCGTCAGTCACATTCTTCTTCAGACAGATATACCAGCCACAGAGCTCGAAGCAGAAGCCCAGTTGATTCAAAGCATCACAGGCGTGATGGAGAAAAACGGAGAAAAGAGAAACGCCGATCTAAAGAAAGATTAGAACATTCTAAACATAGAAGTCACAGTTCACATCATAGAAACAGTGATGATGATCGACATAGTAGGAACAAACATAGCCATAGTTCTAAGGACAATAGGTCTTATGATTTTGAAAGAAGAGATCGCTCTGGCAGCAGGAGTAGATACTAGTATATTAATATTACAAATGACAAATGATGTACAGTATACCTCAAATATCTATTTTATCTAAACATATTTTCATCTGTGACATTTTAATCATACTGTTTTTCAATGTTTATAACATTTATAAATTAAATTTGTTGACGTTATGTTTAAATCATTTTTTTGGTGCACAATGTTTCTGCGTAGTGCTATGCAGTGGTTCACAATTAACAGAAAATGGAGTGCATAAAACTGATTACATACTGTGAGAATTCTGCTTAAATAACAATGAAAAGCTAGCATTTTAAAAAACTGATAGTATAAATTATACTATCTTTATTTTCTTAGTTTATATAAGTATTAAGGTATATTTCAATGTAAAGTACATAAACACCTGTTAACCATCTTTGTTATTTATTTGTGGTCTAGCTAGGACAATTTGATATTAAGGAAGACTGAGGTACAAATTTTTTTTTTTACCCTATGGAATTGTGTATATTTCTATCAGGTTATTATATTCCTGTTAAAATTAATTTATTGTAAAGTTTAATTTTTAAGACTTATTTTTTCTCAATTTTTATTACTATGAGCCTACTCTTCTTTTTTTTTTTTAAGTAATTATTTTTTTTTACAAATTATAAATAAGGTAGAGATGTTTAAACAGCAGGGGAAAAAATCATTGAATTAAAATCATTGCCTTTTTCAATTGTTTACAACATTTTCCCTGGCTACTATGTAATTCAGTTTTATGAATAACTAGGAGTTTCGTAAATTTACGTGAATTGTGCTAATTAGTTATAAGGGTTCAAATTTCTGTTAAATATGTGCTAAATATTTAGAGGAGCAAATAAATTATTGGTTGATTTTGAATATTAAATTCACTGTTAAACCCTAATTTTGTTCTGTATTTGCATCCGAGATTAAACTAATAACTTTTAAACTTAATTTCTAACGTAAAATCAGGAGAGAAACAGCTCAATCTAAGAAGAAGAAATATATGATTTGTTTTAAATGCTCACAGCGATTTGGATAAGAAACTCACTTACATAAAAATAATTTATAAATTAACTTCAAATAAGTATTTTTGAAAAAAATATAAATATTTGTTTAATAATGCAATTTTTAATTTATACTACATTAATAAAGCTTTAAAAAAAATAATTTTTTGAAGTTTGTTTGTTTAAATAATTAATATTTAATGAAAAAAAAAGGATTTACTTGGCAATAGACTTAGAGCTAAGTTAATCCTGATCCAGTGGTATCTTTTTTATATGTCCTGGTACATTTTTAAAAAATATATAAACTATACCAACCACTTTTTTTTTTTTTCAATTGACGTAGTTTTGTGTGGTTTTTTTTTTTTTTTTTTTTTTTTTTTNTTTTTTTTTTTTTTCATTATTTATCATTGACCATTTCTGCATTGTTAATACAAAGTTGTTACCAAATAAAAATTTTGAATAAATTTATTTTAATGCTCTCAATTCACAATCATAATTTGACTTCATTTTTTCCAGTTGCTTTTTCCACTATGTCTGCATCGTTTTTCAAATTAAAATATTTTATGTTATCATTATGAGGTTCAGAATTATTTTTCTACACGTAATCACTTTTATTTCTCTCTTTGCCGCTGAAAATTTAAATTGTTTTTTCTGCAGTTATTTTTCACATTTGCATCTTTTTCCACATAATTTTTTTAAAAATATTTCTTAAATAGGATAGAATAATTGCCAACTTGTTTTGAATCGCACAATTAGGTAATAAAATTTTTTAAATTATCTGTCTGTAGAGACTTGTTGCCTTTTCAGTGATTAATGGCTAGATATTTTCTACCAAGTTATTAAATTAATGATGTTTTTAGTATACGATTATTGTGACTTTCTATTAATATTTTTTAATTGATTAATATAATTATGGCACTCAAAATTTCTTATATGTAAGCATTTTGCTCATTTTATATCCGATTTATAGAATGCAAGAATAAGGACATAATTACAGGGATAATTTTTTTGTATGTTGAGCTGTTTTTACTCGAGGTTCAGCATGAACTGAGATCTCTTTATTTGTCGTTATTATGGTATGACATGATACTGAAATATACATAATAAAATTCCACTGTCCTTTATTGTTTATTCAACAGTTGCAATATAGTCATTTTGATCTTTCAAATAGATGAATTTTGTTTTTTTAAATGAAAACTAGTTATGTTATTTAGAAAGTGGGAAAGTGTATATACTTATTCATTAAATGTTTGCAAAAATAACATCTGTATGATTTTCTGATAGCTCTCATTAGAAAGTGCTTGACAAACCCTGTGGCAGAATTTTTTCAGGCTTTCTGTAACATACTTCTCTAATACTAATATCTTTCTGAAAGATTCTTATAAAAATAACAAATATACATGTTACTAATTTATAGTAACAGAAGTGTCAACTTTAAAAATAAAAAAAATTCGGATCAAATAAAATAATTTTTTTAATTGAATATGTAATATTTTTCTTACTCTAACATTATGGCATTATTCTCAAATTTTGTAGGTGAATAACATACTTCAGTCGAACCTCTATTTAACGAAGTCGTTAAATCCCGATAATAAGTTCGTTCTATGGAAAATTCGTTCAATAGAAAATCACCTTTTGAAATACTTAAACACAAAACAGGCTTTAAATTCATAAACACTAGGCATAATTAAAAAATCAATGGATGCGCCATTAACTTGTAAACTAGTATCTACTATTCATTTTATAACTCTTAACCATAAAAGAAATCTGCACGATAGCAAGAATAGAGCAAAAACATTATATATTGCTACATACACTATCATGCTACTTACATTTTCAGCTAAAAAAAAAGCTAAATTTATGCATAAAATTATAGTTGCATTTATTGTAAAAGTAATTTTAAACATGCATTACCACATGTGTTATTAAGTTTAATTGCTACTGATAAAATCCGTTCATTTGGTCTGAGTTTTTCATTTGAAATGCAAACAAAAAGGGGAAAGGGACTCTACTGCTTTCTCTAAAATAACTTTTAGAGGAAGCAGTGGCTTCGAAAATTAATTCAAGATCATTTCCCCCATAAAATGAGTTAACAAGTTTGAAATGTTCAGCAATATTTTGGAAAATAAGGAAAGTGGATCTCAAAGAAAAATTCGTTAAATAGGAAATTTACTTCGCTATTTGGAAGCTATTTTACGAAGAAATTTCCAGAATTTTCTTGGTTCCTCGAAAAAATTTGCAAAATGGAAGTTCGTAAAATAGAAGTCCGACTGTAATTCCTTTTCCACATTTTGTACTTCATCATCACAGTACAAAATAATAAAATCCGTAGTAGTAGTAACTACCGAAAAAAGATCGACGACAGAATTACGCGAATCAGACTCTTCGAAAAGAGGTTAGTAAAATGCATGTTTTCATTTCGGAATTTAGTTGTAATGAATAATGTATTAAAAAATATCGCATTTAAAGTATTGGATTATAAAAGCTATGTGGAAATCAATAGTAATAGCAGCATTCCACTCCAAAGCGCGGCAAAGGCATCTAATTTGCATAATTCTGAAGAAAAGATAAAATCTTTCAAAAATTTCTGCAGAAAAGAAAAATAAATAAAAAAAATTTCCAAATGAAAAATCTTTCTGCAAGAACTGTGTTAGGTTCTGTGACAATGTCGCGATTCTGCCACGGGGATAACAAATAAGTTTATTAAATTTTTTTTACTTATTACTCATATAGTAAGGCAATCATCTCACTTTATGTTGTATTGTAGTTAAGAATATGGTGCTAAAATAATTAACTACAACAAAAATTGACTATATGGAATATGCAAAAGTTATCAAATTCTAAATGGAGAGCTATTCTATTTGTGACCCAAAAGCTTTAGTTTATTGAAAAATTATTATTAAAATGTATTTTTTTTTTATATATATATATGTTTTAATAATGATCCGACATGTTCGATAAGAAAATGTCTGAAAAAAGCAAGTGTCTGATTTATATTTTGAAAAAAACAAAATTTTAGGTTCATCAATTTTATTTGCTTTCCAAAATTTCCATTCCATTTAATTCCTCATAATCAGGCTTTTACTGTATTTTCAATAACATGTTCGTTCAATTGCACAAGTACAAAAAGTTTTAAAATAATTTTCTTATTAAAGATAGATTTTATGGCTTCATATATTTAAATGAGTTTTCACTTTCCTTATCAATATCTAGTATAAAATTCAGAAGATGGACTCTGCTGGATTTTGCCAGTTTTTTTTTTTTTTTCTCATCTACTGGTTTAATTAAAATTCTCCTAGTTTTTCTACATTTTAGAAAATTCCCTAAAATTGAATAAGTTTCCTCAATGAAAGAATGACTAGCGAAAAAGAGATTTAAATGATACTCAAAAAATACCATCGTAAAAAAAAAGCATTTTAAAATTTAAAAAAAAAATGAATTTCTTTATTTTACATTAATTTATCTTTAAAAAATATTTAAATTCTATTAGCGCTACTAAAGTACCTAGCTTCAAAATTTCAAAGCTAGTTTTAATGTACTGAAAATATAGAGTCCTAATTTGCCTTAGACCTTATACCCCTTGCCTTATTCCTTCATGAATCTAGCACACAAACAATATATTTGTGATCTGATTATTTCAGTAAAAATATTTAAAATGAAAAGAATGTGCCTCTGTGTTCTGTGCCTTATTAAATAGTAAGTTAAAAATATGAGTTTTATGCCTTAAAGTCACCTGCTGTCATATTTAAGTTGATGATTTATGTGGCTATTACATACACGTCTTCAGTTGTTATTCTTAGGATATAGTTTGTGAATTATCTGATTTTGCATTAACTGTTACCTTAGGAATATACTGGTTTACAGAAAGCTACATTTTCTGCTCAAAATATAAATCTGTGAAATATTTTTTAATTATAATCGAACAAATATTATTAGTATTAATAGCATCCTCTTGCAAGTATATGGATAAGCTTAATTTAAAAGGTGTTTATTATATGACGTGATTAAAGTATTTTTCATACTATGTTTTAGAACTGTTATCATCGTCTATTATAACTTTTAGCAGGTTTTTATTATCCATTGCCTTTAATTATTTTAAATAATAATCGGTTTGAAAACAAACATAAGTAATGTTTTAATATTTTGTGTATATAAACATTTGGTTGACTTATTAAATTTTTCGAATTAGAAAATGTTTTTCACTGTATTAAACTAATTTCCTTCTTATCATTTGTTGTTTACAAATATAACTTAAATATGGAAATAATTCTTCTTTGACAAAAATTGTTTTGTAAGAGAAATGGTAATTTATGAAATTAATGTATGATTTGTTTTACTAAAAGTTATTTATTTAAATAAATAGTCCTTACTTTCCAAACTAAATTGTTTTATTTTATTCCTATTAACTTACATTATATTACTATTAGAGCAACCTAGTAAGAAAACTTGTTCTCTTATCCAAAAAAGTAAAAACTCTAAATACAATTATTTTATTCTGGAAAAAAAATATGTGCCTAATAAAGCTTCTATTTTCTTTTTTTTTAAAAAGTGAATTTTTTTTTTTAAATGTTGTGTGGTAGCTAACTTAAGAAAATACATTTATGATGTTACCTTATACGTGTGCTATCTCTCCTTTTATAACAGGACTTGGCATCGCTGCACTAGGAAAAGTCTGACCTTGATCAGTTTAATCTACTTAATCATGGTGACATTGTCACAAAACATTGCAGAAAGTTTTTTATTTGGGAAGTAAAAAAGTTTTTTTTTTCTTTTTATCTGTAGAAGTTTTAGAATTTTCTTTTCTGCAGAAGTTTTTTATTTGGGAAGCAGAAAAGTTTTTTTCTTTTTATATGTAGAGGTTTTAGAATTTTCTTTCCTGCAGAACTTTTTTTTTTCCTTATTGCAGAATTGTTTCAAAAAATGCTTCCTCGCATATAGGAGATGAAAGAAACGCTCCTGATTTTTTTTTTTTTCCACTTTCCTTTGAGAATAAAGAAATTCTGCAATGACTGGCTTTAGCTCTAATTTCAGATTGATAAAAAAGTAATTTCCAAATCCCAAAAATTTTCAAAAATGTTAACTATGCAAATATTCTTTAGAGCAGGAGAATATCGCCAATATATTAGAATATGTATATTAAAACAAAATTCTAACATTTATAATTAAATAAATTATATACTGTTCGATTCAATACATGAAGGCTTTTTTCTGTAAACTGAAAACGCTCTGTTACTTTAAATTAGTGACATATATTTGCTACTATTAAAAATGTCTCTCACAAAGTTTAGTACTCGAGAGAATTGTCACAGAAAAATCGAAAAAATTCTGCCACAGGGACCAAGGCTTAGTAAAAAATTACAAATAATTAATTATTTTAATAAAATGATTAAAAACTGCATGCCTTTTTTTTTTTGGAAATACCTTAAGAACCTTACATTGGCTTACAAAATAATTATGTAATTATCCTCATTATATTAAGGCAGATTTCACATGTATTAAAGAAATATTAAAATGGGATCGATTGACACCTTTTAAACTTAGTAGAATTTTAAGTTTTATACTAATTAGAGTTTTATAGAAAAACATGTCATGTGACAATTTACTAAATCTTGTGAAAATCAGTTTTTGAATGTATAAAGACAAAAGGAAGATTGTTAGAAAATATATTTTCAGTTGAAAATTACCTTATTTAAAGACTTGACAGTATTTTATATAAAACACTTGGATCTGACTGTAACATTTTTTGAAGATTAGGAAATATCACTTGATATGCTCGTCTGCTAATTTTAATTTTCAGCATGATATACATTTATAAGAATATGAATGTTTCCTTACTTACCTTAGAAAATTACCTTATTTAAAGACCTTGACAGTATTTTATATAAAACACTTGGATCTGACTGTAACATTTTTTGAAGATTAGGAAATATCACTTGATATGCTCGTCTGCTAATTTTAATTTTCAGCATGATATACATTTATAAGAATATGAATGTTTCCGACATAATGTATGTGCTCTCAAAGATTACAATTTCTTAGGTAGTAGGTATTCTTCAATGTTATTCTTAAGTGTTCTTTGATGTAAACAAGCTTGCTTTTTTCCATTTTTTATTTTTCAATTTAATAAAGCAATAAGTAAAGTTTTGTGAACTGGGAGACTTATAGGCTATCAAAGCAGCATTGATATGTATGTAAATTTGATGCCATATCTATTATAAGATATTTGGACTTCTAACTCTTTTTCTATGCCGATATTGCTTTTTGTTTCACAAAAGTCATTTATTTAAATAAAATAAAATGGATTTTGCACAAAAACATAAAAAAACCTTATCTATTGATTAACTGTTTGCACAAATGTAACTTCATTAAATACTATCCACTTTAAATTAATAACCCAACATACGTTGTTTTGAGTTAGTATTTAGAATAGTAAATAAAGCCTGATGAAAATTTTTGAATTTGTGTAATTTGTTGCCGTAAAATTATCTGAATAATTTATTTTTTATCTGAATAATCTGATTTTTAAATTTTGTTAGGTCACTTATGCATTCTGCAAAGAGTTTTTGAGCTTAATTCTACAGAAAATGTCTGGTGATGAAATAGATACCACTGAAGTCCTTGTTAAACTATTCCAAAAGGTGATTTTTTATTATTCATGAGTGATATATGCATTTGTCGGAAATTACGATTAATGAAATTATTTTTCCTGCTAATTTTGTTTCAAAATCTTATTTGTTGTAAGCTTGTGTTTATGCTGTGATCATTTCTTTGTTGTATCTTGTAACATGTTAGAGGAAAAAAGAAAACAGCTATCTCGCTAGAAAATACCAAGATCAATTTATTTGAAAACATTCAAATGAAACAATCTTTACAAAGGATTTTAAATAGCTTTTAGCCTAAATACCAGCTACCCAAACTCACATTACTCCTTCATCACTGGGAAACAACTTGGACGGTGAGTATTTTATAAATAAAAAGGACTTTTACATTAAATTTTTTAAAGTCAAGAATCAGCTTATTCTTACAAACATCTTTCATGCAATTTTCTCTCCCAGTTCTACCTTTTTGACATGTATGCCGACGTCACATCAACTTTGTGTATTCTTTGAGCTAGCAAAAAAAAAGAGGGAAAGCAGTTGAGATATATTTTTTATTCATTTTATAGTCGTTGAACAGCCGACCCAATTTTTGGGTTTACGACTACTAATGTTCAACTCCGTAGGCTTGTAATTTTGAACCCGATCTAGAAGACAAGGGAACTCTTGGATCAAGTATTGAGAAAAATTTGCCTTTGTAGAGGACTTTTTGATCAAATTAACCTGCATTTGCTTCACATGACGAGGAAAACCTCCCACGGTTTGCCTCCCCATGATCCGTCTACCACTGAGGATATTTTACGTCAGCACTGTGGTCGGTGCAAGCCGGATTCAGAATTCATATCGGTCAGATTCAAACCCGGTTTACCTCATTGGAAGGTGAATGCTCTATCTCCTGAGTCATCACGGCTTAGTTATTTATATTAAAGAATAAATATCATTATAACTAAAAATGACCCTGCAGTAGATTCGAAAAGGAATAACAGAAGATAGAAGAGCCCGACATTGTGAGATAAATTATATTAATTTTAAGATCAATAATATTAGTCATATAAATGATATCATTGAGTATACATTTATAAATAACTTTTACTTTATTCTAAGAAAAATACAACTGTTAGCTTTTTTAAATTAAAGTTTAACTAATTGTGATTAGGAAGTAAAATTATTTTTTGCATAATTCAATAAAGTTGAAAAGTAATTTTTAATTTAAAAAACTGAATAAGTTACTTTATTGAATACATTTGAAATTTTACATAAAATATTTTCATGGTGGCTAATAAAATCAAGAATAAAGTTCCTTGTCAAAAACTAGTTATTTTATCATGATTGGGTAGAGTTTTTGAAAATGTTTTAGCATTTTGGTAATTTCATAACTTTCAAGAATCGGAAAAAGATTTTATTATTTTTTGATAGTGCTTAAAAATATTAAGTGCTTAAAAAATGCTTATTTTCTATTGAAAATTTTGGTTGTACACCATGTTATTCATAAGCTTTTGTTTACTGTGTACTTTTCTTAATTTCACTTCATTTCTTGTTCTTGCATTTCAATGATGAATAGTTTTTTTAATTGCTATTTATGTTACTAATGTTACTTTTTTTTTTTTTTATAGAGCTCCAAAGCTCATGCGTTGACTCAAGCTTATCATCGTTACACATTAAATTATATAAATGCCCTTAACTACTTAGAAACTTTGAGGAGGCAAGTTGAGTTTAATGAATTCGAGAAGGTTTGTTTCTCTTCATGTATTTTATTTAACGAAGTTGATTGAAATATGTTTATAACTGCCATATATTTGATTTTTCTTTAGATTGTATGTTTTCTCTGTTTCCTTTCATCTTATTCTTAAATCGAAAGCATTTCCAGTCTTTATATAATTTAGAAAATTTCCTAAAATTGTGAACATTTCTGAAAAAATTTCATAGCAAAATAAATTTGTAACTCAGTTTATCGCTTGATTTAAAATTTAAGTAACTAATATTAGTGAATGATAAATTATCTTATTGATTTTTGATAAAAATAACAGTGTTTTTTAGGTTAATATAGTTAATAGTATTCTCTTTAAATCTAATAGTTTAGCTGCCAAAAGTTACTTCGTAAACTTATTATAAATAAATTATTACCACTTTTTTTTGTTGAAAATTTTATAATGAAATATTTTTTTTATTTTGCTTTTCATTCAAAAATATTTTTTAATTAATATTTATTTAATGAAATGTACAATCTGTGTTTTACAAAAATATGTTAATACCATCTAAGGAAGAAAATTAAATATCCTCTTTTTTTAATAATTGCAAATATAATAGCTAAATTAATTCTACGTACTCGCTGACCGAACTTTAAATTCCCTAAGAATGGAATATTTTATGCATTGCATGCACAATAGTTTGGTCGTAATTTTTATTAAGGTATAATTATTTTTTCCCTTGTGAATTTGAAGCTACATATATTTATTTTCTTCTTTTCTTACTTTATTGTCAATCATAGTATCATGATATGGATTGAGAAAATCTCGTACTCTCATAATTTGTTTGTGCAATTTAAGATTTATATTTTATTTAAGAAATTGAAAAATATGCACAAAGAAAAGTTTTGTTCTTTTTGTGGCAGTCGCTTACTGCTTTGAAGAATGCTTACAGGTTTGAAGAATAATATAGAAATCATATTTATGAATTGAAAATGTGATTAACTGATTAAAAAACTTGTCAATCACTCTAAAACTGTTAGTTATTAACTGATTCTTCCCTCAAGAAATGTATTGATTGTCATTTAATTTTAAATTCTGAGTTGGATAAAGTCACTAATACTAGAATTGATAAACAAAAATTTAGCATGAGAAATATTCAAGTCTTAAAGTTAAAAAGAAATTAAGGAATTAATTTTCATTTTCCGGGAAACTAAAGAAAAACTAAAACTAAACTAAAGAAAAACCTGTGATTATAAGATTATAATTTGGGTTACTACCATAAGGCATTGGAATGAATTACCTGCAGATTTTTTATTTTTGAAAGCTTTCCTTATTTCTTTATAAAGACATTTCCAATTATCATGCTATTGTACTTAAGTAGTTTTTGTTCATTTACTACAATGTATTATATTTATTGCATTTAATTAGTTTTTTTTTTTTTTTTAGTGGTGCTCCAGAGATGTGAGGTGTAAAAAACTGCAGTTGACAGATCTGCTGGTTTCACCAGTTCAGCATGTAATGCGTGTGCCATTAATTTTAAAAGAAATTGAGATGCGCACTGAAAACCGAGATGAAAAAAGGCAAATACTTAATATTATTGAGGCTGAAGAAAATTCTCTCAGTAAGACCTTATTCTCATTCATTCAAAAATGTTTGTTTTCATCACATTGAATTTTTTTTCAACAACTTTACTTTTACACAAGGTAACGAGGAAAAATTAGGAAATTTAATCAATTGGTAAAATGTGGAGGAATTTAATTAAGGTACCCCAAATGTCGAGAGAAATGCATTAATTAGAGTTATTTTAAAAAACCTGTTTGTGGATTTTTTAAGTGTTTTGCAACATAATTTCTGAATAAAAATATGGCGTAACTGAAAAATTAATAATAACATTGATGTCAGGTTCATGAAAGGATAATTAGGTTTTATTTATTATATCCCACACAAATGAAGTATTTTCTCTTCCTATGAAACTTATGGGGAGTAAAACCAGTTCTTGACGTGTGAAAGCTGCGCTTAGATGTTCGTTTGAAAACTCTGCATGAGACAGATTAAGCAACATTGCTAAACCTACTCGCTTGCAGCTTTTTGAAAGACTAAAAGGGAATGATATATTAAATATAACATATCGAATGACAGAATTTAGTACAAACAATGTGGTCATTTGAGTTGAGGAATTAAGATTTAGGTCAGGTTATAAGATTTTTACATGTTATTAGATTTTTAAGATTGCTTTGGTCAAATGGTGTCTTTAGAAGGAGAAAAAAAATGTCTCGAACTTTTCGGATTTTTAGGTTATAAAAAAAGTTTTGAATTTCGCTAAAATAATGGCGTAAACAAGCCGTAATTTTTTATGTATCATTGAGACTGGTATTTGTAGACCCTTAAACAAGATGAAGACTATTATTATTGTTTTGTTTATTTTTAGGGGAATTGGATGACAAGATGAAATGGTTGAAGAATTTTGAACGACTTCTTGAAATCCAGAGAAGTATAGTTTGGCCTTCTGTCAATGAGTTAGATCCTAAAGCTTTTATTCCTGATGTAAGTAAAATTTTTTTATTTTGATTTAATGGCTTCCTGAAAACCTTGTTTCAGTGTAAATGTTTCTTTGTTAAATTTAATAGTTGTACAATATATACCTTTAAATATATATAATGTATATACTTTTTAGTTTCTCAAAACACCTTTAGCCAAACAGCCTTGTGAAAGACTCATAGTTAGCCCAAGGCGACAAATTGTTCTTGAAGGAGCTCTTCAACTGTTAGGTTAGTTGCATTCTCTTGTCCAATAAAAGCTGGGTTTTTTTTTTTTTTTTTTTTTTGTTTTTTTTTTGTAGAACTGATACTTAGGTAGTTCTACTAACTTGGCAGGAGTTACATAAAAATATATTGGTATGAAAATTTAATTATATTTAGGACTGGAGCAACCTTTTATATTATGTAGAAATGGGGTGACACTAAAGAATATTAATAATAAAATTAAATGAAGTAAAAATGATTAGCAGTGAAGCAACTACTTACTAGTTGTTGGATAATAGTTATATAGTCTCAAGTAAGTAAGCTTCAAGCACCCTTGGGCTCTTGTGAAATCAATCATATATCATGCCCAGGCTCCAGTCCTTGACAATAGACCTTTTTACTTCCTAATGAGTTATTCCTAATATCTTGAGCTCACTGAAACAGTTAAGCATAAAATAATAGGATTAAAAAGTTTCATTCTGTTGTTATATTTTAGAAAAATTTAAATCATTTTCGGTTTAATCTTTATGTTTTTTATAATGTATTAGACTTCATGTGCTGTCCCATTTATTCTAATAATTAATGCAGTAAGTTTAAAATTGCTTCTCTTTCAGATAGTGGTAAACCTTCTGAAGCATTTGTCTTACTTTTTGATGACATGTTGCTAATAACTAGAAGGAAAAAAGGACTTCATAAAAAGGTGAATAATAATTGACAAAATACTATGTACATTGTCAACTGCTTTAAATATACATTTTTAGAATTCTTGTATATAGTGCAGCCCCAAATTTACGTTTTTTCTCCAGACTAGGATTAAAAAATGCACAAAGCAGGAAAACGTTAAATTGGGGTAAAAAAAATATATAAGCATATTTTTCAAAAATTGACGCTTACAAGATAAACCATTAGAAAAAATTTTTTTAATGTTTACTTGTTTTTTTATATTATTTCAACAATATCCCAAACAATACTTAATATTTGCTTTTTGGTTTAGGAAAACAAATAAATATTGTTTAGGATAACATTTTGCTACTAGCAAATAAATATTGTTTTGAAATTTCTAGACTTTGAAACTCTTGATCAATTGTGGATATATACTCTGACGTGTTTATATGCAGATCTCAAAATTATTGGTAATCTGTTAGTTTGCGACCACTAAAATTTGATTTGTACTAACCATAAACTTGAACTGCCATAATATTTATGACTGAGAAGCATGCCAAGTTTTTTGATAATACCGTAGCAATTTTTATTAAAGAGACCCTCACATAATAAGTGCATATTCACCTACCATGATGTGTTGGTAGCAAGTAGGCACAATGAAAAAAAATCCTAAAAATATAGCAAAAAGAAATGTAAGAAAGTTATGGGTCCATTAAGTATAGTCCAGTCCCCTAGATTTAAAAAATACATGACATTCTTAATGCATATTTTTCGAATTCCTATAAAAAAAAATGTGAAAGAGATTGCATTTTAGAAGTCAAATTAAAAAGAGTGAAGTAGGGATTAAACGTATCAAAAGTCAGTTCATTTGACTTGTAATGGAGTAGATTCCATTAGGATATTTCTGTATCATTACCTTTTCAAGTCAACTATAATCAAAAAGGCATCATGGGGTTTTTTTTGCTTGCAAAAAGTTTTTAAAAAAATGCATAATGGTTTGCCCAGGTATGGCTCTGAGTTATAACCTTCAAGTTGATCCCTTACAACTGCATAGCTGCCAAATCTCCTGTTTTTTTAATGAAGACTCTTGTATTTTACGACTATCTTCTGTTTACCTGTATATTCTCAAATTTCTCCGTATTTGTTGAAGAAATTTTTTTAAAAAATGGTGATAAAATATCAACTGATAGCAAAAATACTTCTCTTATTCCTCAACAGATGGTGCTAATATGAGTTCTGAAGTATGTTGAGTGTTAATTGTTTAAGTCGAGCCATGATGGCTCAGGGGATAGAGCATTCGTCTTCCAATGAGGTAAACCCAGGTTCGATACGCATTCCGCCCGGCTTGCACCGACCACAGTGCTGATATGAAATATCCTCGGTGATAGAAGGATCCTGGGTTAGAGTCCCTTTGCCATCAGGCTAACAGTGGGAGGTTCTCGTGGTTTCCCTCTCCATGTAACACAAATGCGGGTTAGTTCCATTTAAAAGTCGTCCTCCACAAAGGAAAATTTCTCCCAATACTTGACCCAGGAGGAGTTCCCTTTTCTTCTAGATTTGGTTCAAAATTACAAGGCTACTAATTTGAACACGAGTAGTCGTGAACCCAAAATTGGGTCGGTTAGTAAAATCTCTGTTATTTTATTTCTCCAATGTTGGCAGGTATGCAACTGAAATTCAATGGAACCACTACAAAAATCTTGAAGGATGAAAGATGACTATGCACTCTACTGTAGAAACCACATCCATATTTGGAATTTCTGTTTTAGACATAAATAGTTGTAGTTTGTCATTTTTGTATTCTATATTTCAGAAATCATCTATTACTGAAAACTGGGCATCAACATGCAGTAATAAATCACCTTCTGTGCATGAACCTGGCTGTAAATACATTGTATATAAGCAACCGCTATCATTAGATCGATTTTTCATACATGATGTGAATGCACAAGATGGAACAGGTTAGTTGTTTTGATTTTTCAGCCTGTCTCTTAAATTATGTTATATTGCTTTGGGGAAACCACATTTTCAAATAGGCTTATACAGTATCTAAAGAAGCAGTGCAGTAATTTTATAAAAATAAAGCATTGAAAGGTTTTTGTTGTTTGATTCTTTTTCTTGATTCTGATGTTTTTATAGACATTATTTAATATTGTCTTTAAATAAAAAAATTTAATAGTAAAACTTCATTGTATTTGAAATAGTAAGTTATTCTAAGCAAGAAATAACTTTTTTTAAAGAATTAATTTATAATAACTGGAAAATTATATATTTCATGAATGACTATCCTGGTTGCAGAATTATCTCCATAAATCCGAATTTGTAGCAACAGAAAAGAAATTATTATTGTAAAAATTCAGTTTACTCCAACGTACGTGTATCAAATTTTTCAAGTATGAGGTCATTAAAAATTATACATAAAAAGTTTATGTTTAAATTTAAGTTGAATTTTTTACAATCTTGCTAAAAAATGGAATAAATCGTTATACAATTAAACCTATAATCAAGTAACAAAAACAATTGCTTTTTGTTCTTTGTAGTAGTCTATCAATTTAGGTTGTTTTTTTTTTTAATTTTTATTCAAAACAAGTTTAAAAATTTTTCAAAAACGAACCTCAAAAATTTTACTCCTTTTGTTTGTTTGCTTTTCAAAAAAAAAAATTTAAAAAAACTTGGAAGAAAAAGAATTTGCAGCATTCACTGCCATGCTGGAAAATTGTTGCTACCAGTATGACGATTAAAACTAGTATGAGACACTTTGCTCACTGTTCTTTTTTGTATAACCTTCTTCTTATAATAGTCTTTTTTTGTACATCTAATTATCCGACTAATTATTATCAATTAATTTATTTCAGATTATAATTTTAGTAGATTATTGAATTAAATAACTTGCTTGCATTCATTTTATATCTTGTTTTTTAGCATTCTTATTAATTAAGGCCATGTTCTTTTAATAAGTTGGGTTATTTATTTCAGCTAACAGTTTAAAAAATGCTTTTGTTCTGGTATGTTTGAATAGATTTCAACAGATAGTCACAGTTCATACATTCCAAGCACCAAATGAAACGACGAAGGTAAAATTAGATTCTTCTATTAATCAAATGTTTTTGTTCCATTACACTTTTATTTGTGGTAAATCTTTATTTTATTTTACTTTAAAAGTTTCTATTGATTTTCTTAAATTGTTATGTATTCTGATTGTAGCTTTGTTCAGTTACAAATTATTACTTTAGCATGTGATATATACAAATATTAAAACAATAATGCATTTTAATTTCTTATTTTGAAAAAGATTTCTGGGAAGCATTTAGTCACTCTACATTTGGTATACCTTTGAAAAAAATCTACTAAATTTACTGGTTAAATTTTCTTGTCATTTTTTTTAAAATCCAATTCTGAGTTTAGGACTTACAATTGTTCAACTCCTGAATCAAGCATTGCACAGTGGGCCAGCATCCAAAGTTTCGTGGCCAACATTAGTATTTCGATAAAATTTGTTTCAAAATTTGAGGGGTTTTATGTGCAGGTAAATTGAATTCATAGTTGAAATTTTGAAATACTTGAAAAATACCAACAAAAAGAAAAAATGGCGGCTGAAATATAGCGAGCAAAAATTTAAAAAATAATATAGTGCGTTTGAATATTTAAATGTAGCAATAAAAATATAATAATTTCCTTAATTTCGTATTAGAAATGAAAAGCAAATTATATTTCCGAAGCAATATTAAAAAATAATGCGAAAACTTGAAGAAAAAAACATAACTTTTGTTTTTTGGTATATTTAGTCCACCTTTGCAATACGGGCAAAAGGGAACAGGTTTTTTCGAAAAAAGAAATATCAAAGAAGATGACAAAAAAAAGTTTATCTAATTACCTCGTGAAACTTTTTTCGAAAGTCATTCAAACATTAAAAAATGTCAAATGATAAGATATAAACTATAGTTTGTCAAGAGCATTAACTAATCCAATAAATTGAAAAATTGTACTATAATTTAACACTAATTACTCTGATAAAAATGTAACAGTAAGGTGAAATTCCTATATATATTTCTAAAATAAAAATGTAAAAGTTACATTTAAAAAAAAAAAATTTACATATTTTTCATTACTACATTGTACTCTCGTCGGTCCAAAAAGTAAATGTTTGGAATGATTATGAATACTTAATTTGGGCTATATTAAAACTGCCTACACATATTTTAGTTGAAAATTTAATTTTGACTTTTGGCTAAAGATCATGGTCTTCTGGCCCACAGTACATTGGGACAAACTAGCCTCTGTGGAGAACTTTTTGATGAAACTAACCAGCATTTGTGTTACATGGAAAAGAAATCCGCAAAAATCTCCCGTAGTTTAACTTGACAGCAAGGAGATTCTAACCCATGGTCTATCCACCACTGAGGATATTTCATGTCAGCAATGTAGTCACTGCTGAATTTTTATCAACCAGTCAACGCTGGGATTTGAACCTGGATTACCTCATTGAGAGACGAGTGCTGTATCCCATGAATAATCTGCTATAACTCATAAGTTTTTAAGAGTTAAAATATTACCAACTTATATACACACCACCCAACCGTGGTCCAGCACCTAGCTCCATTTTTCAAGTGTCTGGTCATTTAACAGGAATGCCACATAATAAACTTACCAATTGAATAATTCACAGGTGTAAAACTCAAGAAATATTTATTAAGATGAATATCTTTTATCTTTCATATATCTCTTTTCGGGTGCATAGCATTTTTTAAAAAGTGCTTAAAGGTGTTTATTTTCTTTTTTAAGAAGTGCTTAATTTTCACTTTTCCAAAATGCGATATTTTTTTCTTTACCATGTTGATTTCCACCACGAATTATACAAAAAGACATTGTTCTTTTCAACACTTTCGCAATTATTTCAAACCCAATCTATTTCGGCATGCCGTTGGTCCGTAGTGTATGAAAACACCATTTGTTTTACATGTTTGATGAAATACTTGAAGGTCCGCATGTATATATATACTGATCTGGATTCAGTGGAAAGGGTATTTCCCCCTTCATGTGCAACTGTGCTGCATCATTTTCCGCCCTCTGGAATCAAACAGAAAAATCTCTCAAATTTCAGCAGAGTACGGGAACCAACTAAAAATTGTCAAATTTTTTTTTCTCTAATAGCGATAGAAAATTTTATTTCTCTTGGTAATTTCATCACTGGTAACGTGCCATCATCCTCGTCACTGGCAATCAAATAAAACCATCAATTGTCAAAAACTTGCCAACCCTGTCTAATTATGATATTTTTTTAAGTGCTTAAAAAAATTTGAGTGTTTGAAAAGTGCTTATTTTTTGTTGAAAAATTTGGCTACGCTATTATGTCCTTGCCATTCACTCTGCCTCACGAACAGCAGTCTTTGACATTCCATTGTCATTATAAACAGTCTTCCATTGCTAACTTCCATTGCATTGCTTGCTAACTGATAAATTGTGTTACAATATTTAAAGAATAATTTAAAATAAATTGATTTTTATGACAGATTTATTACAGGGAGCTTAATTAGTCAGTTAGCTTCTCAAATCATTTCTTTACTATATGTTTAACCTATTTTTCAGATGTTGTCATCCAAATTAAGGGTGGAAAATATTTTTAGAACAAAACATTTTTGATGGAAAAAAAATTTATTTTTAATTGCTAAGTGTATTTAGTGAAAATGTCCTTTTATTACTTCTGCCTTTTTTATTATGTTAGCTTTTTTTCTCTTTAATTATGTGTGAAATCTTGTTATCCAACAACTGGTGAAACTAAAAAATGGGTATGTTATAAATTTAAAATATATTTTTTTCCAGACAATAGTAACAAATTTTTTTTTTCTTTCTCTTATATTTGTGAAAAGCATTTCTTTCCTGTTCAGGTTTTAATTTAATACAGGTTTTCACATAAATTATTTTTTTAGGTTAATCATCTAAATCTTGCCATCCAAATTCAGGAAAAAATTATTTTTCATCTATCGTTCCTCTAGAAATTCATTTTTAAAAAATAATTTTTATTTTAATTGTCCATATATTATCATCCAAATTCAGCAAAAAAAAGCTCTATTTTTTTTTTTTTTTTTTTTTTTTTCAAAAAAATATTTGATGATTTAAAATAATTACCTTTTTATTTATACAGCATTGTTTTATTTTTACATAATTTACAAGATACTTTTACTGATCTTTAAAATTAATGTTTCTCCAGTATACTTATATTTTTCTTGTGTCAAAATTATTTCGCAGTTGCCCAAAAGAAGAAAAACATAATTATTGGTGTAACTTATTTTCTTTTTGAATATAAAATATTACTGAAAATACCTATGCCTACTATTTCTGAAAATTTAAAATAAACTAATTTGTAGTCCTTATGTGTCCTCTGCTTTTCCCGCATTTTTACTTATGACTTTGTACAATTTTTTTACAAATTTTCAAGCATATGAGCAAAATTATGCAACTGTTTATAATATTTCACATTTAACAAATTGTACCAGAAATAATTTAATTTTTCAATTTATTTTATAGGCTTTGTGGTTGTCAAAATTACGCGATACAATGGACCGATGGAAGCGAACTTTGCAAAATACAGTATTCCGAAATCAAAGAGCTACTTCAAATACTTCATCTAGTACAGTACAGGCACAAGACAGTGTTACAACTGTAAAATAGCAACGACTGGTTGATGGTAGGCACCTGACCTATCTTGCATTCTCTAAAAGTTAAAATTACTTTTAACTATGATAACTATTTTCAACTAAGCTGTACACTGTGCTGTTGCCATAAGTGCCAAAGATCTTTCTACAATGCTATTTTTGTAAAGATCATGACAATTCGCATTTTGAGCATGAGCATGTACACGCATCTAGTCAGAGTTTAGGTATTTTACTGTGATTATCAACAATGTTGGAGAGCTTTATGATAGACATATGAAATGTTTAGTGCAATTTGAATTAATATCTGAGTAAATGCAGGGTGATCAAAAAGTCTTACATTTTAGAAAAAAGTAGTAGACCTTAAGTAGACTGATTTCCATCTCCAATTAAAGAAAAATTCGGTGTGAATGTGTCTAAATCTGTCATAATAAATTCTGAAAAGTTTCTGATTTCAAATGTTTAGTCTTAATCGAATGTTGTAGTGTATTTTCAAATCATGATAAACAATTGAGCTCTCCTCTTTAAACTTATCTTATGTGGCAAATATATTGTTTACTCAAGATTTCATGTAGACTTTTCATTGGTGCATGCTGTACAGGGAGAAATTGGGACTTTTCCTTGAAAGCTAAATTAAAAATTAGAAATAAAGTTTGCTTTTGTTGAGAAAAAAAAATTAATCACTTGTTAAACTGAATCAAATTTAGGAAGCATTAGAATCAACATGTTTCAATTTATCAGGTCAAAATTGTTTTTTGAAACGTGTTTTTGTTTTTATATCTTTTGAATATGATGCTAACACATGTTATTTTGGTTATGTCTGTTGTACTAGTTTAGAGCAATAGGTTAAACATTTCACAAAAGAGATTTTGCCTGTAAGTTTAAAAAAAAAGCATATAAAATTTAAATAACGCTTTTTTAAAAATATTTGGCTTAATAAATTACATTATAAAGAAATTAAATCGATTTATTCAAACACATAAAATTTTGAACGATATGGTTTATTATTTTATCAATTTATTTCTTCTAGGAATCCAAATTTTTTTACAGCACAATTACATCTGTTTATCAAGTTATTATACAAAATCTTCACAAGTCACAAAATATGTCAAACTAAAGTAATATTCAAATCTTTCTCATCATTATTTTTTTATTTAGTCCTTTAAGATCCCTCTTCCCTTGCAATCTGATTTTAGGTTAATTTTAATTTTTTACTTTCTCTATAATTTTTGTTCTTTATAAACTGTTGATGATAGAGTATATTTGGCATAATTAATGAAATAAATCAATTAATTGTTGTTACACAACTCGTATACTAAAGTATCATTAGAGAAGTTTTCTAATAAGAAATATTTATTTTCATTTTAAAACACGTTCATGTGTTCATGCAAGCACTATAAACTACAACTGAAATGTCCAGTTTTGTATTTCTTTCTAAAAAAATATTGATGCAATCTATAAAAAAAAATGTATCTACATCTGACACTTTATACATAAAGTTGAGGTTTTTATGACTTTTAAATCACCCTGGAATTACCAAAAAGAGTAAAGATTATTGAAAATAATTTTAATAAGCTTTGAATCATGAGTGAATGACTGTAAATAAATACAGGTATTTCAAAAGTATAATGTCCTTGAAAACTAAATATTTTAAAAAATGCTGTATTAATTTTTTCTTAATTTAAGAAGTTTTGCACTTTATGGCTATTTCATTTAAATAACAAAAAAATGTGGTCTTTAAATTAATAAATACTATAATATTTTCTATAAAAGGAGATGTTAGTCGAAAACATTTTAATACTGATAAAACCAGCTGAGTTTTACAATTTTAAAAAACAAATTACTGTGCCATACCACTGTTTGTACATAGACAGTCATATTTTAGATGTAATTTTTTAAAACCTTTTTGTTCACGACGTAGTGTTCTTGGGCATTTTAAGATATAATGTGTTATGTATTATGATGTAGAAGTTTTTTAATTTACTTAAAAAAATGCCCTTAATAGAAAACTGAATTTCGCAACTGTTTAGCTTCCTTTCAAGAATTTTTCACTGCACTGTTAATACCAGTTCTATATTTCATTACTATTATTTAATTTGATTTTAGTTTAAAATTAATGGCTTTGGTTTTCTACGTTATTTATTCTGGAAAAAAAAATACCGAAAATTTTCAACTAAAAATACGAATAAATTATACTTTTTTTAAAACGGAAAACAACTGCAATTCTTAAGTTATATAAATAAGATAGATTAAAGATCAACAAGTTAGTTCAGTCTTGTACCTCATTCTCCACTTAAATTAATACCAACATGATGATTTATTATAAAAGTCCTGTATGTATTAAATTAATTATGGCTGTCTGATGATTAATATTGAAAATAAATTAAATATTTAAATCAGCAAAAAATCAAAAAGATTAGATGGGGGCAAATGAATTGTAAATGTGTGCACCTCGCTGCCTGCTTGCGAAAGCTATAAAATTAGACTAAGAAATTTTATACCTAACTAATTTAAATATGCTATATTAATTAAAAAGAGAAAATGTACAAAAGTTTAGTAAATTTTTAATTCAAAAATATTAAACACACATAATTTGTCTTAACTTAAAATAAAAATTTATATTTTTCTTATTAAATTGATAAATGTTCTTTTCACTTGATATACTAAATGAATTAATAAATTCATTTAGTATAACAATAACCTACGAAAGACAACATTTTTATAAGAAGGTATGTATATGAAATAATTAATAATTATTTTAGCTACAAGTGCCTAAAATATTTTTCCTTTGATATCGTGTATAATTAAAAATTCATATACATACATATGAGTTAAAAATAGAACAAAATTTCCTTATAGTAAACTTATGGTTGAATAATAATAATGTAATCTTTTATAACTATAATTTTAAAGTTGAATTACTATACTGATGCACTTTTATTTTTTCAATATCCTCTAAAATAATCGGCTGAAATTGAATGAAATAATTGAGAGTTTACAAGATTATTTTCGTTTATCTGTGCGAAGCCATGCATTATAGACATTTCGTTAATGTATAGATTGTCTAGAAAAATAGTCAAATAAAAATATCTGATTGATTCAAAGCAAAATATTAGCATTAAAAAAAACTATTTATTTTAGGCAGTGCCATGTGTTTCAATACATAAACTATCTAATGCGTATAATATAATTTATGTAAAAGTTAGGGTGCATTGTGATCCATGCATGTTTAGTTAAATAGATTTTGATTACTAATTTTTGCAGTTGTAATAGTTATCTAAAAAAGTAATAAGTTGATGCATTTATTATGATGGACAATCAGATATAGTTACAGATTCACTTAAAATAATCGAATAAATGCTTACTAATGATTAGAATAAACTAGAAATTCTCTCTCTGCTTCTTTAGTTTTGTAATTCAGCATTCAGACAATCTCGAAAATTTTATCATAAGCAAAAACACTTTTTCTAATGTAAACTAATTTGTTGATTAAGTGATATTATAGCCTGCACAATAATTGTTGTCTGTAACAAATAAATTATGAACATGCTTTCTATGCACATCCATGATAAAAAAGCCTAAGCCTCTTACGAGATAAGTAAGTTTCGTCTGCAAAAAGAACATCAAAATGATGTCTGATATCAATTTTCATTGGGTATAAATTTTGCCTTTAAAATTTCCGCTGGAGATTTTCTGAAAGTTCTGATGTAATTTTCACTGGTGATAAATATTGACTTTGAACTTGTATAAAAATGACATAAAATTAGGAGACTTAGTCGAGCAAGAAAAAGAAAATTAGTAGATAGAAGAAAAAAACATATCAAAATGACACTAGGTACTACTGTCAAGCATGTCTGAAATCATTCTTAAACAATTTTTATAGGGTATAAATACTTTAAAAATTTACATTTGAATGGTTTCATAATTTGTGTGAAAATACTGATGTAATTTAGACTGAGGCTATAATTTTGACTTTGAAGCTTGCATTAAAATGTCATAAAAATAGAATTTTAAAAAAAAGGAAAAATAAAATCAGTTGAGGGCAAAAAGATCATCAAAAATGATGCTAGAGTTTCTACATGTTTTGCCTTTGAAATGCACATAAGAATGGTATCGTATTCATAAATTTTTTGATGTAATATGCAGTTATATTTTTTAATTTTAAAAATGCATTGAAATGACATAAAATTGGTTGATCAATGAAAAGAGCATCAAGATGACACAGAGTACTCCTATATGTCCGATATCATTCTTAAGCAATTCTTATGGGATATAGTAGGTAGGTACTTTATTTACGTTGCACTATAGCTGCACAATGGGCTATTCTGGGAAACATCCCTGAGGATGATCCGAAGAATGTCATCGCAATTTCGATCCTTTGCAGAAGGGATGGCACCCTTGCTTTGGTAGTCCGACAACTTACCCACGAAGTCAATCTTTTTACTGTAGAACAGCTTAACAAGGAGAAATACTACGCACCTTTGGTCCTTACGCAGGCTGTTCAAAGTGGCCACCCACCCACTTACTGACCGCAACCAGAGATACTTGACTTTGGTGTTCGATTGGGGTATAAATTTTGCTTTTTAAACTTTCATTAGAATGGCATCCTATTCATAAATTTTCTGAAAATACTGATTTAATTTTCTTTGACGATAAGTTTTGATTTTGAAACATGCATAAAAATTACACAAAATTAGTAGACACTGAAAGTTTTCACACTTATCTTGAATAATTTTCATTCATCAGTTAGAGGACGAACATCAATTATTTCACAAAAGATTTTTAACTTGTTTTCATTCTGGTGGATTTTTACTGACAAAACTTACTGTCTAATACAAGAGTCTGGCCAGATGTGTCACTTTTGAATGTATATTTGTATTTTCTTGTTGTAAATGTATTGCCCTAAACGTGTCTATTTAAGAAACAAAGTCTCAACTTTGAAACATAAATACAAGTACTTTTATCTATATACATATATACACCTTTACATTTTGGATATCTACAACAAGCTTCTATTTTCATAATTGTAAACTTATACCTAAGATTTTCAAAATGAATTAATATTATAGTATTAAAAATAATGTAATTTTCTATTCTCAACAGTAAAGATTTTTCAACTGAAATAAATAATGATGAAATTATAAAATTATTTGTAAATATGGGAAATTAGACAATAATGCTTTTTCATATGTAAAATATGGTTTATCTTTGTATAATATGATCGATCCTGTTGAATATGTGATACATTAAACATATGAATATATTTAGATGGTTGTGAAGTTGTTCTATTGTTCAAGCCAATGATTTTTGTTTCATTTTGCATTAAATTAAGTTTTT